GAACCACAGAGACTCACCATAGTCGTGGGGAACCACAGAGACTCACCATAGTCGTGGGGAACCACAGAGACTCACCATAGTCGTGGGGAACCACAGAGACTCACCATAGTCGTTGAGAACCACAGAGACTCACCATAGTCGTTGAGAACCACAGAGACTCACCATAGTCGTGGGGAAGTAGAGGACGCAGGCAGTGATGATGACTTTAGGGTGGACGGAGTGGTGTGGTTCGCAGGAGTAGCTTTGGTTGTGACTGAAGTAAAAATTTGGTGTAGGAAGGAAGAGCAGCACAAACCATGCTACGTTCACCAGCCACGAGACCAGCACCAACAACACACTTTTCTGGAACAACAACGAATAAAATGTGGACATCGATAACGAAAACTAAATATGCTGGAAGAGAACAAATATACTGCAAATTAGAATCGTCAAACTAAGAAAAATGTCGTACTTATCAAAAGTAAATAGAATTTGTACTCACAATTCTACCGATGCTGTCTCGGTATGATCCGGGATGTAGAATGCACCAATACTGATCGAGTGCCAGTAGTGACAAGGTAGTGGCAGTGTGCTGGTGCAGTAATGGCATCATAAGAGCTTGTATCCCACAAACATGTCGGTGATACGGCCAGCAGTGATACAGAGAAGGGTATACGGATAAAGGTGCTGCCACAGACCCCTTCAATAGCTCTCCCACAGATAAGGACGTCAGCAGGTATCGCGGCTGCGGAAAACAAAAGATTGATGAAACAAATGGGATGAAACCAATTGCAGTGGAAGAAAGAAACCTCAAATTAATTGTACCAGCGCAGACTTTAATGAAATTAACACGTTGACTACGATTGCTTCATCTTGTACTATTATTTCATTTTTTGTACTTTTTTTAAGCAGGGTTGCCAGACGGTCATTTTTTCCGGACAAATTCCGTGATTTAGTTTTTCTCAATTGCGTTGGCNATGTTTACTGCGTTGTTGCAACGTCATGTTTACTGCGTTGTTGCAACGTCATGTTTACTGCGTTGTTGCAACGTCATGTTTACTGCGTTGTTGCAACGTCATGTTTACTGCGTTGTTGCAACGTCATGTTTACTGCGTTGTTGCAACGTCATGTTTACTGCGTTGTTGCAACGTCATGTTTACTGCGTTGTTGCAACGTCATGTTTACTGCGTTGTTGCAACGTCATGTTTACTGCGTTGTTGCAACGTCATGTTTACTGCGTTGTTGCAACGTCATGTTTACTGCGTTGTTGCAACGTCATGTTTACTGCGTTGTTGCAACGTCATGTTTACTGCGTTGTTGCAACGTCATGTTTACTGCGTTGTTGCAACGTCACGTTTACTGCGTTGTTGCAACGTCATGTTTACTGCGTTGTTGCAACTGCATGTTTACTGCGTTGTTGCAACGTCATGTTTACTGCGTTGTTGCAACGTCATGTTAACTGCGTTGTTGCAACGTTATGTTTACTGCGTTGTTAGTGTTTACTGCGCAATTGCAAGATCATGTTTGCGTCATTGTAACGTTATGTTTGACTGCGTCATTGTAAAGTTATGTTTGTCTGCGTTATTGCAGCGTTATGTCTAGCCTTGTTATTTATCACAAAAGTTACAGTAGTGTTCCAGTCCCAAGAAAAGTACTTTTAATGTTCCGAAACTTTTCAAAGGCCTGGAGCTCAGGTCGCTGGCGCTCAAAGAACTCTGGACGAGTAAGAATGTAATTTTTAGAACGAAGATATGGGGCTTTGATCCACTGCCTCAACTGGACTTTATCCAATTTAACCATTCATTATAACACGTAAATCAAATTAAAATAATCCAGAGGATCTGTTTATCAGACTTGGGCGACAATTTATTTTATAAATTATTGGGACGAAGGGTACAGAAGTGCCTGCAACATTCAAACAAACCAAAATAAAAAGAATACCATGCTTGTCATATTTTTCGTTCTGAAATACCAGATGAATGAAATGAAACCAAGGCATATGATTTAAAAACGCATGCCAGAAGCGGTGAGCGCATCAGTCCAGAGAAATGAATTCTGAAGTTCAGGGGCCAAAGTTCGGCTACAATCATGAATAAATTATTCGAAGGCATGAGAAGCAAGGCCAGCCTGCGATGCTGCAGCCGACTTTCGGTTAGGCGACTTCCTGCGGCAGGAAATTGATCCTCTGATGAGTTACATATGAAATTCCAGGAAATTTAGGCAGACGTTGGAGTAAAGCAGGAAATGCGAAGACAAATACAATAAAATACAGAACAAACTACGAAATGTTTGTTTCTACATATTATGTAGTGATTATTCTGTAACTTTTGCATGAGAATTGTACTAAAAAACAATGGCAAATTCCTTGAAAACAATGAAGAATTCTTGACCCATTAAACGATTATAAAAATTTTCGACATCATTTATAATAACCGCAAAAATTATTGATAAATTAGCCTCCTGTTTCCATGAGCAGCAGATATGAACCTAAATTTATTTGGAGCATTTACACAGGATTTAATTCTTTAAGAAGATAGTGCTGACCGCATGAGCTTATAGTATATTTTTCTGTCCCAGACTAGAACTACGGAAGTAGTGCTATTCATTTACTCATGAAAACTACCTTATATACACACCGGAAATATAGTGACGTAGAGTTCAGTGTAGTTTGTGTTCGAGTACACTTTTACACCAAACTAGTTGAGGAAATTCTTTTCTACTCTTTATTCATTCATATCATGCTTGTTATTTCTCTATTACGAGGACGATATAAATAAATCAAATTAGTTCTTTTGAGCGGCAAACTTCGTTCAATATTTTCCTTAAATATTGACGCTCTAGTCGTGAAAAAGGCACTTAAGAAAGAAAATTTAATAATCCTATAAATATCGTCCAAGTTGAGGATGGAGAATTACAATGGTGGCCATAAATGAAGAACGAAAACTAAGCGGCCTTTATTAATCCAAGAAAAGAGAAATTATTGCGTGAATAGAGGTAAAAATTATGGCTATGCCCTAATAAAAGTCAGGTCTATGATGCGAAAATGCTTTTCAAATAAGATCGAACATTCGTGTTTTTCTTATAATTGAAAATAAACAATCGAATGATTCGTCTGTGCGAGATAGTACAACAAAATTTCATATTTCGCGAAAAAAATATCAACAATTTCACTCAGGAGTCCACGCAACCTATTGAATGTTTTACAAAGTCCAGCATTTATATATCTGTTGACATCACGTTCGAAATTATTACCATTAATGATTTTAATTTCTTGGCTTTCATCCGAACTTCACCACAGTAATTACACCTGAATATTTTAAAAAGTTCATCCCAGGGATTTGGACTGAAAAAATTTCCCCACAGAAATTCGTCTATCTTCATAATACGATTCCATTAAGCCTGAAAAGAGGTGCATTGCTGTGTTGTAAAACAGTGGACGACAAAGAAGTACGCGCTTGATTCAAAATTCTTATTCTAAAGTCCTCGGTATCCACGGTGCCTACTTCTTTCTTGAAACTGGGTTTTCCGTGCCCACGTTGTCATAGCGCTTGAAAATAGTTTCAATACTGTACAAAAATATCGAAAAAATAAATTCTAGCTCATGCGGCTGTTTTACATATAACTTTTTCCAACTTTTAGCCTTTTTAGCGGCTTCTTTCCGCTTTTGTTTTCGTTAGAACCTAAATGGAAACGTTTCCTAAAAGCTTGAAATCGTTTTCCTAAGTTAAAGCGCTATATGGCCTTGTCTTTGATTGTATAAAATTTTCACTATATAATCCCTTCAATACATTCAGAATAATTGAGTGATTCATATCGAATATGATCGGTGCCATGTTTTATGGATGATATACACGTCTCCCTAATACCGAAGATGCGGTGGGCAACACATCACTCAACAATCAAACTCTGAGTGCTGGCTGCAGCCTCAAAGCTCGCCGAGCTTTCTGGCTGCAGGCTCGGATTCCAAGCAAAACTACCCTTTAATTTATTGCCGCCAGCCTGGCAAGTGTGGCAACTTAGAAGGGCAGTAAAATGTGGAGGACGTTTGCGAAGAGTTTGGCTAAATTATGCAGTCAGCAAGAAAAAATTTACCCCACAGAAGCTTGAAAATATTCCAATGGGCCAAAAGTATCTTGCAGTTAGGCAATTGAAGCCATAAATTTTGACTCATAAACTGAGACTTGGGTCTTCTATTCTAAAATGCATAATCTCGGTAAGGATTTAACGGCACGATTAGTTTAATTTTGCGCGCATAATTACACGCAAGTAAAAAATTTTTAGGAAATCGTCAAGATTTCAAGGGCAATCCGCACCTCTAATGCATTACAATTCAAGACTAGGAAATACAGTTAAAAATTAGACGCTATAAAGTCAGGCGTTGCTAACATGACCGCCTCGAATTCAGACACTAAAAGCTAATTTTTATTTCCTGGAATGGCGCTGTGGAGTGCAAGACGAATTATTAAAACGACGGCTCCTAAAACTGTCGAGATGAGTCATAAATCATGCAGCGATTTATTCATTGAATTTTCACTATTACGAGTATGATGCTGAAGTTACAGTGATAACAAAGTTGTGGGCAAGTTTTGCGCCAAAAAAATAATTGTGACATGACGTTTTTTCTTGCCTCTACAGTAACGAAAATATTTCTAACAATTTTTACAGAATTAGAGTTTACGATAAATTAGATAATAAATAGATAAAGAAGATAAATTTGCCCGTGGATTAAAAAATTCGAATCCCTGATGATCAAAATATGATATAAATTATACGGTCTAAGAAAAAACATTCGCATATTTTGAAATAAATTTACATAAAATATTATGCGACTTTGAAATTTTGTTTTGAAATAAATTTACATAAAATATTATGCGACTTTGAAATTTTGTTATGTGTAGCAAAATAAAAACAACTACGTCTTTTCGTAGGTGTTTACTAGAGATCCCCGCAGCTTACAATAGAGTTCGATGATTTAAAAGAATTTTCAAGAATTCACAGCACGCCACTGACAGGCTTTTGGGAATGACCACCAAAATTTGCAAGTCAAAATCCTGGCTGAGACGGAGATCGATATTTCGAACTGCGGGAGCCGCAGAAATATCGACCGAAATCAAAAAACACTAAGAATTTGAGTTTAGCTTTACAAGCCAGTTAAAATATTATTAGTTGGACACGTGACCGTCGTAATATTTCTGATCATATTTTTTGAATGGCTGAAATTTACTCACAAATTTTATGTGAGGTAGCTGTAGAAGTTAGATATAATAAATTGAATTAAAACGTGGAAACTTTAGAGCTCAAACTAAGCAGTGCGCATGATTGTATTCAGAAGAAATTCAAAATTAAGTCATTGCTCTTAGAATGTACTTGATAATTGGCTGATAGCAAAACAGTACCGGAGCTTAGGGAAAATATTGTTCACAGGAGTAAGCAGAGCAGTGCAAAGACGAGCAGAGCAGTGCAGGGACGAGCAAAGAGGTGCAGAGCAGCGCAGGGACGAGCAGAGCAGTGCAGAGACGAGCAGAGCAGTGCAGGGACGAGCAGAGCAGCACAGAGACGAGCAGAGCAGCACAGAGACGAGCAGAGCAGTGCTGGGACGAGCAGAGCAGTGCTGGGACGAGCAGAGCAGTAGCAGAGCAGTGCAGGGACGAGCAGAGCAGTGCAGAGACGAGCAGAGCAGTGCAGAGACGAGCAGAGCCAGCCAGTGGCGCCAGACATAACATCGCTTGACTCGCACAAGCGCGC